GTACGTAGAGTAGAGAGAGAGGAGAGAGAGAGAGAGAGAGAGAAGAGAGAGAGAGAGAGAGAGAGAGGGGTTGTGGGGAGGAGAAAGAGGAGGAAGTAGTGGTGGAGAGGTGAAGTTAACAATAATGACAATAACAATTCCATCGATTAAGACAGCAGCTTCAGATTTGCAACTCCCAATATTCGAAAGAAGAAACAAATATGAATCTTGTCATATAGGCCTTAGGTTAAGTGAGAGCAAATTTGAAATTGTATACAATCATGCATATGTAACACCTAGCCATCAAAGTTAGCACCAGAAAAAGTACCTGAGTGCTTCACAAGAACGCCGAAGCTCAATAATCTCAATTTGAGATGCTCTCACAATTTTCTCCAATGCACCAGCCTACATCAAATTCACAAGTGATTACTGCATGATTACTAAAATAGGGTAACATGATAAACTCATAAAATAGTGTAACATAATAAACTCACAAACATAATAAAAATTAACAGGAGGTTCTCATATCTGGGTCCAATTTGGGCAAAGAAGATAGATGCATACCAAGCCAAAGACCTCATCCTCCTTATCATTCGAAGCATCCCAGTTTCCACAATTTTCAAGAACTGAACCAAATTTGAAATCTATCCCAGCATCTCTTACACCATTTCCTGCGACTTGAAGGATGGAACTCATTTTTGATGATCGATCTTCAAGACCCCTGTCGCTGTTCAAGGACTCAGCCCCCATCTTTTTTGACAAAGCACTTCTCAGCAAAGTACCAATATGTTGCTGCTCTGCAACCAATCGAGCAACTTTATCCTGCAAATCTTTTCTTTCATTGTTCTTGGTTTCCATGTCAATCCTTACTTTTTCAGCAGCTGTTCTGGAGAGTTCAAACACTGATATTGTTCCATCCAAAGAAGTTCGCAGATTCTCATCCATATCCATTTCATGAGGCAGGAAGCGATCTTCAGGGCACTCTGCTTGATCTGGTGAATTCGTATCAATTATCTTAATTATAAAGTAAAGTTGATCGTGAGCTTTTGATATATAATTCAATTGATCAAAGACCAACAGTCGTTGCCTTTCAATCTTTGATTCCAAACCCCTTAATTTGGCATTGAGCTCCTCTACGAGTTGCCTTAGATCCCCGGCCTCCTGTTCAACCAATCTTGATTTTTCTGACATTTCTTTGTTTAACTCAGCAATCTGCAAATCTTTTGCAGAAACTGATTTCTCTGAGCTCTCCAATTCAGAAGATTTTTCAGAGAGATTTTCCTTTAGTCTACTAATCGTTGCTTCTAACTGAGATACTTCAATGGCAATTTCATAGTTTCTCTGCTCCATCTGTTCACGTACGTCGTTTCTACTCTTCGATACATTGTCAATCTGTCTAAGAAGCTCATCAACTATTTCATCAGCTCTCTTGGTGACACCATAAGCTATTGCAGGCAAGCCAGTATACTTTGTAGACCTAGGAAGTCCACTTGCAAAAGTCTTAAAACTATTAACTTTGGCAGCGATCTTTTCGGTCTCACTCACAAGCAGCTGTGCAGTGGCTTCAATTTCTGACCTAAAAGAGTCCCTGGTTTTTTGGGTTTCTTCTATTAACCGGTTCATCTCATCCTTATGTCTTTGAAGCTCATCCCTTTGCTTCATGGCTTCTTCTCGTAACCTCAACGCTTCAGTCAACTCTCCTACAAGTCCCTCTTTTGCTCTGAGTGCCTCTTCCTTTTCTCGCAAAGCTTCATCTCTTTGTCGTGAAACCTCGTCTCTCTTCTTAATGGCCTCATGGGCAAGCACTTTCAAGCGATTGAATGAGGTTTGTAAGTCAGCTTTTGCAGCCTCAGCAGCCTTTCTTGCAAGTCTTTCGCCGTCAAGCTCCTTGAGAATCTGTCCCAATTTCTCTAAAGACAGTTCAGAATTTTGGTCCCCAAGTGACAATGGAGCAGGATCTTCACCCTCAACATCACTGAGAACCACATCATCATCAGTAGCACTCGCCATGTTTCCAAAACTTCCAATTCAATGCTTCATCTGGTAAATTTTCAACTTTTGAATAGAACTACTATTAAACATATGGGGCTCTCTCTAGAGTTTCTCAACAATAATCTATTTCACAGTAAAATGGTTGAATCCAAAACCCTATTCTCCTTAAAATTATATATCAGCAACCATCAAAGGTCAAACCTGAGGACTAAAAGAAGTAGGGCTAAAAGAAGTAGGGCCATACATTCAATAATGGAAATCTGCAAAAGGAATATAAAGAATGAGGACCAAACAAGTGAACTAATTTCTTTCTTATGAGTTCAGAAATAAAAAATTAACAGACCCCAAAGAATCACAAATTACAACCTTTGAAAGAAGGTATATAACATTGGCTATTGTTCCTCGTATTCCAATTAAAAAACGCGAGTTTGGTCAAACATCCTCAATTTTTCTTTTTTTTTGGGAAACCAAACATCCCCAATTTTATTTATTTAAGACTTGAACAATTGAATACATCTTCGGTTCTAATGTTCAGATTTTGACAGAAGAGATTTTGACAGAACCTTCCACATTCCTAAAAAATCATGTTGCACAAAGCTGTAGACTGATCTTACAATGAGAATTCAAAGGATATCCAATCTTATACAAAACCTAGAGCATCCCTTTCAAAACCCTTCCAATGTAGTGAATTTGTCCAATTCGAAGAATGCAATTGGGAGGAATCATATGATTCTCTGCCAAGGCCCCAACTTTACTACTAAATAAATCCAAACTTACCAAATCATGAAACAGAAAACAAAATCTAAACCCGAACACCACTACTGATCCAAAGCCAGATTTTCCCATGTTATTCGGAAACATCGGATTTGGGCAGAACTGATTTAGACATACACTGAATAATTTTGCCAAAATTTTGTTGGTCACAACATTGATCTTGGTCTTTAATATTTTCAAATAAATTCAAAGTCTCTGACATAACCAGATTCTATAACTGCAAAACCAATTATCGTCTCAAATCCCTTTTTCCAAACAATAATCGTGATATGCTCTGAAAAAGCCTTAACCATTACCTTCAAGAATCATGGGTCATAAAGAAACCAAATCAAGAGAATGAACCCATAAAGGCTTGCCATTAAATTTCATAATCTCTAAAACAGTTGTTTAAGCAAAGTCTTAACCAGATTTTTCAATTTCTTGTTATGATAACAGCACCCAATTCCCTTTTTAGGAAAAGATTACAAATTATTAGTCACAGAAGAGCAACAAATATCATAAGGGAGCTTACCTTGAAGGGCACGGTAACCATGGCTGGCTCGAAGAGAGAGAAAGAGGGAATGTTAAAACAGAGGATACAGAGAGAGGGAGAGAGGAGAACTACCAGTCGTCCATCGAAAGTAAATGTCATGATTTGTCTATATCACGTACACATGATATGCGTGTATGAAGGCTGGTATACGGGATGTATATCTACCGTCCAATAGCGAAGATGAATGACGTAAGGACATGATCATGCTATCCTACAGGGATTTATCATCACTGTTATTTTTCTTAATGGACGGTAGAGCACCATAACCAATGGACTTTCTTACGGTGGAAGTACACTGTTTATGTGTGGCGTTGGTATATACGCAATGATATCTACGGTCCCTTAGCGAATATTATAAAATGGATGCCCTGCTATGTCGGGCATACTACCATGAGAATATGTATGGTGATTTCAGTTTTTATCTACGTGAGGTACACCACACTTATTGGTGAATCATCATAATAGATTAGTATTTTTGCATTGGAAACTACTGGCTTTGAATAGGAAAAATATATTATCTTTCTTAAAACGTACGTTACAATTAATTTTAGAACATTGGATTTGAAATTAGATAGCTACATTTATTCCATTGATCAAGCTCAAACTTCAAAATAAATTTTTTCGAATTTTATGATATACTTAGGCTATTGGGTTTCACATCGGATGGTTGTAATGCAATCCCTTTAAAATAACATTATTTTAAATTATATTCTTCAAAAATTATTACTCTGTCTTCCATAATCTTTGAAAAGTACTCTTTTGGCTTATAGTAGAGTAGGACCAAGCCTGGGCTGGGTCATCCTCGGCCCTAACCCTGGCCTTAAGTGGGCAAGACAGGCCAAGTAGAAGCATAGAAAATAAAAAATAATAAAGGAAAAGAAAGGCCCCGTTGGATTAGCCCCGGCCTAGGCCCACATTTTGTGGCCAACCCCTACTTTTTTAAGGTTGAGCCGCTCGGCCCATTGTCAACCCTATAGTAGAAAGAGAAGTGGTGCAGTAGAGGAGGTCATTTTTAAATATAGGGTTACCATCCTCCATTATATACATGCATCTAAGGAAGTGAAAGTATCTGTAAAGCTGGTGAGTAATGCAACATGCATGCATGCCAAGGGCACTTGAGGCGCATTTTACACTTTGCTACACTTTGTGTGCTCGCATCAGCATAGGGGCGCCCTTAGCACATGTGCGTTTGCAGTTGGGCTCATGGCTCGCATCTTTTTACACTTAAATAAGGCATTTTTATAACTTATCTATAGAAAATGCATATAAAGGAATTTTGGTAATTTACCTTGGTCAAGGTAATGGCTCTTCACTAATTTGTGGTGAGAGGTCCATAGAAGGGTAGTCGACTAATTAGGCATTGTTGGACCTCCCACTTGTGCACCATGCGTTGTTGGATGTCTGAATAAGTGTAAACACAAACAGCAATACCCCCAAAGGGATGAACATTTTTAGTTGCATATTTAGTCATAGCGGTTCCCCTTTTGGAACCAGAAAGCCTCCAAGAACTAGTGTGACTGTTGGGTTTGTATACAAAATTCTAACCATTTTATGAAGGAAAAAGTTTACATAGAGCCGAGGCTCTAAACAGTCAAATTAGAGCCCACCTCAAAAATTTAATTAGAATAGAAGAGGTTGTTTTGATGACCAAATACCCTCAACTTGATCATCTCGACATCAAGATTCATGGACATAAGAAAAAAATAGATTTCAAGTTTTGGAAATAGTGTATTTTGTAACGTATTTTTTGACCGTCAATTTTCAAGATTTTCAAGTTTTCATTGATCTGCTTGATCTACATTATTTTTTAAGCTTTAAATTTTATAATTAAAGATGAAAATATATTTTAAGGCTATCACAAAGACTTCAAGTATTGAAATCACTTTTCTCAACACTATTTGAACGTGCACTTTACTTTGATTGTTTAGAGACTCGGCTCTATACAAACCGCATCAGAATTGAAAAGTCAACTCTTATCTGTCAATAGCTTTGAACGGCCATATATGGTGAAGTTGAAAGCGCACTTTCTCTCTTTATATATTAGATACGAATTTATTTGTTGGTTACATATTTTTGTATACTAATTTTAGCCCCATCTTCCTTTTACAAATTTTATCACTAAATATAAAACACTTATAGTGCTCTAGATATTGCAATATTTGTGCATCTGTATGGGCAAGTAGTGATCAATCTTCAATTTCCATGTATTGTGAGGAAGAAATTACCTATATAACCTAGATGCGTACTTATTTAATCAAGTACTAGACAAATATTGTCTTGTGATAATGAAGTTTTCGTGCCTCAGATATGAAGATTAATGCCTTATTTTATTACTTCGAAAGTTTTTGGTGGAATCAATTAGTTTGTGACACGTTTCACTTATCATTTACAACTTCACAAGATAATATTTAGGATGAAATGTGGAGTTTTCTATGGCCCATATCAAGGTCGCGAAATAACACTTTATAAGACTCAACTAGATTATGGCCCGAATTTCAAGAGATGACAATAAAAGCTTTTATTTTTATTTTACCACGCTTAAGGTGGTCTACATTCTCAATACCTCTACCCCAGAAGTGTCACCATAAGTTGAAGGGGAAGCAGAGGAAGAAGCACACCAGCATAAGGAATAACCCAAACTTCTCCAGAAGTACACATGATAATCACTAGTACAAATTCCAAATCCTCAATTTCTTGACCATTCCAATATATCATATTTATGTCTTGATAGTTCGGCGTAGGATCTTTGGAACTGATTAGAGACCAAATGCCAAACTGAAGAGTCAAGTAACCAAAGGTTTTTTATTCTTGACTATTTAAATTTTAAAATCATTAGAAATAAACCCTTAATCAATCAAGTGTATTAGTTCCAACTTATTATAAATAAACTTAAAAAGTGTGGAAAAAAGTTCAATGAAGCTTTCAAAATGGGAGCAATCATCCACTAGTTACCCCATATCATAGAAAGAGTACCAAAAGAAAATAAAACATAAAACGTTTAATGTTGATTGGGTTTAACTTCCGCATTCTCTTTGCACTAAAAAGAGAGAATTAGACTTTGGGAAAATAAAAATAAGGCCATGGATGCTTAGTTAGCAAGGGATTTCAAATGAAAGCAAACTTTATAGTGAAAAGTCTAAGGAAAAAACTCAAAACAAGAAGTTTTTCTTTCCCAAGCTCCAAATAATATCTTTAAATGGAACAAATCTGAATGGAAGTTGTAAGAAACCAGGGTACTACCTTGAGGAGTGTTGACACTGGAAGAAAGCTCAAAAGCTTCAAAACCATACTCCCTTGATCACTAAAGACTAAAAGTTGATGGCTATGGCAGCCAAGATCAATGTAATTGACAAAGAAACTGGATTGTGAGTAGATACTAATGCTACCATACATATATGTAACAACCGTGATTATTTAAAGGGTGCAGTTGGCATACGGATGCATCCGTAGCTGTAGACGTAAGGTGCACCTTCAAATTTTATCAGAGTATATAATTTCCATGTAAAATGTTCTTAGGATTATCTCAAAATATATTTTTATATCTAATTATAAAATTTTAAATTTAAAAAATGGTTAAAATCAAGCAGATCTATAAACATATGAAAATCTTGAAAATGGACGGTATAGATAGTATGTTGTAAAATGCACTATTTCTGAGACTTAAAATCTTTTTATTTTTCATAGTCGTACATCTCGATGTCGAGATGATCAATCAAAGGGTTTTTCAACATTAAAACTACCTTTTTTGATAGATTTTTGAGGTGCATTTGTAGTTCTACATTATGAGGTTGCATCTTTATATAAACTTTTTCCGTATTTAAAACCTTTGAGCCCATAGGAGTAGGGAACTAAATCCAATTAAGAATTCAAGCCTTGACTAGGATGCTTGATGAAGGCATGATGGAACTGAAATTCAGTTTGAGCAACATTCTTACTTTGGATAATTGTATTTTGTGTGCCTGATACGAGGAGGAATATAGTATTGAGCAACCTTCGTAATGAGCACGGTTTCAAAATGGTCATCAATTCTGATACGATCATTGTGACCAAGAGAGGTGTATTTGTTGAGAAAGGGTACTCTTGTAATTTAATATTTAAATTGGATTTTGTTAACAAAATAAATAATTATTCCACTAAAAATGTGAGTTTAAATAATTTGTAGTATGCTAGATTAAGTGAAATGAATTTTAATCCAATCAAAATCATTTCACTTAATCTAATCCTTGAATGTGGTAATGTATGAATGTTGACTTGTTAGAGAATATGTATAGTTATAAATATGATTTAAACATTGCCCTCACATGAGGAAAAAAGTACTTTATCATATTCATTAATTATTTCTATTATTATACATATGTATATTTATGGGAAAATATCTCTATAGACCTTGTTTTTAACTTTCATTTCTTCATAGACCTAAGGTTGCAAAACTTAGCTTACTGCATAGAAATTAACTCTATTATATCTTCTAGCCCCCTGGACATATTTTATTCATTTTTACCTTTTTTTTTTTTTTAGCCCCAACAAATTTAAAAAGACATTATTTTTTAAACCCTCTCTCTCTTAAACATGTTTCCCTTTCTCTCTCCCCCCATCAACCTCCCAAACCCCTCTCTCTCTATCTCCCCCAATTATTTATCTATCTCTCTTCCGTTTTCCCCATCCTCTCTATCTCTCTCTCCACCCAAGAACGCGGCCTTGAACTGCCACAAAAGCCACCACCTACAAAGCTCTCTCTATCTCTCTCTCCACCCAGGAACGCGGCCTTGAACTGCCACAAAAGCCACCACCTACAAAGCTCTCTCTATCTCTCTCTCTCTCTCTCTGTGTGAGACAATAAGCTCCCTGTCTCTATCTAGTCAGGCTCCCCCATCTCTCTCGTCCTCTCTAGTCGGGCTCTCTCTCTCTCTCCACCTTGTACTCGACCACCATCCCTTGCTCTGAAATCCTAACCATTTAAGCTGGTTTTCAAGAGGAGAGCTTGTTAAATGGTGTTTCTTCACAAGCTTTAAATTCCAGGATTTCCATTGGTTTTTTGGGACAAAATCAAATCGGTAAAAAACAATTTATCCCATTTCAGAG